TGGGGGGGTCCTCCTAAGATTTAGGATCTTGGGTGCTTGGGTGTGGGAGTTACACGGCTCAGGAGGGATTAGGGTTTAGGGATTCGTATTTAGGAGGGTTTAGGGTTTAGGGATTCGTATTTAGGAGGGTTCAGGGTTTAGGGATTCGTATTTAGGAGGGTTAAGGGTTTAGGGATTAGGGTTTAGTAGTTGGGAGGGATTAGGGTTTTGGGGCATGCATTCCGGCCCTCCATGGGAGGTTCTGCTGATTGACAGGTTAAGTCAGGAAAAGCCAATGCGGTTTAGGGTTTTGGGGTTTAGGGTTTAGGGGGCATTCTTCCAGAGCTGGTTTGCTAACATCACGCCGCATGTCCGAGTCTGTAGCAGGCCCAATCTCCTTGATTTCAATCAAATTCATTATTATTACTATCATTATTGTCATTTTTATTTTTACTGTTTTATTACTGTTGCTACTGTTGTCTCTGCCAGCCGAGCATAGCATTGCTCGCCAGCCACCACCGAATTTGCTGGTTGTCAAAAGCTACCGGAGGAATGGATCCCTACCATATCCACAAATAATCCCAATCCCTCGGATCCCTTTCATATCCTCTACAAAATCCCTATCACGCCCTGGATCCCTGCTATATCCCTAAGAAATCCCTGGATCCCCAGTCTATCCGCTACAAAATCCTAAGCCCTAAACCCTACAAACTCCCTATCCCTCCCAACGCCCCCGTGACGCAGATTGTTGAGTTCGGGGGCGGCGGTGGCGAGCTGGCGGCCCTGATGTTTGACATGGGCTTCTCTACCCCAATGAGTAGTTTCCGTAAACAGGGTTTAGGGACGGGCTTCTCTACCCCAATGAGTAGGGAATAGGGGTTGCATGGGGGTTATATAGGAATATAGGGATAATGGAAATGACATGAGAATTACCATAATATAGTAGGGTTATATATGTTCTAGTAGTTTCCATAAACTGAGGGGACCCCAGTGTAGCCAGCCAACAACTATAATCCCGCCCCCTAAAATTCTACCCCCCCAAGCTTGGGAAAACCTGAATTGGGGCTTAGGGGTTGGTTCTTAGGGCAGGATTTTTGGTTCAGAGTTTGAAAGTTGAGGTTTGGGTTTCAGGGTGTAGGGTTTTGGCTTTAAGAGTTTTAAAGATATTCACGAAGTTTTTTTGTCCTAAGTCCCATCCTGCCCATTTCTGCTTTTGGTGTCGCTTGAAACATTTGTGGTGGTTTAGTGCCTAGGGTTTAGGGAAACGAATTTGTTCCAACGCTGGTTTGCTTGATGCCCGAGTTCATTCTGTTGATTGCTCCTGATCAGCCCGACTTATGTTCCATCGGCAGGATGTGCACGTGGGGGTTTCAAAGCATGAGGGGGCTAAACCCCTAAACCCTAAACCGTGAGAATTCTTTATACAGGCGACCAACTTGGGCCCTATTTACAGAACCCCCAAGTCAGCATCATCCAAGAGCCTGAGGCCGTGTTGGCCAAATACAGGGCCTCAAGTGAATAATTAGCAATAAGCCGATTTATGGTATGGAATGCGTCAGATAAAAAACCTCAAATTCATACTGTCATTTTTTCAGGCCGCTGCTGTATGTGGCGTTTGCTGTTTCTTTGCGCATGGAGATACCCCCTAAACCCTAACCCCTAAACCCACTATACACAGCACCTTCATTCCAAGGCTTTCACAGCAGCTACTTCATCTTCGACCTGCCTCCGATGCTGTCGCTGGTCATTGATGCCGTTTTTTTTTTTTTTTTTTTT